AATTGGAGATTGAGAATTTAAATTCTTTATGATACCTCCCATTATAATTATTTCCAGCTATTAGCCCTTTGGGCAAGAATAAAAAATGAATTTTATTTCTAACAAATAATACAAGTTAAACTCATAAATACCAAGAATAATAATAATAATAATAATAATAATAAAAGGTATCCGCCAACATTTTGTGGATCAAAGAATTTTGAATTTCATAGTATAAAATTGCTTGTATATCAATTTACTTTCTAAAATGTATCCGTTGTAATTATGAACTAAACCCAATTGCAACATTTTTTTCTCATTGCACTTGACGACCATGCTCTTCTGCTATGAGATATGTCAGTTGAAAAATTGGATATAAAACAATCTAACGAGACAGCGAAGGGAAGTTTGCAGCTCTATTTTGAAATTAATTGAAGGTATCAGAGGTCATATGACATTGTTATATGAACTATTCAAAATGAGAATTCAAACAACATGTGTTAGATGAGAAGTAGCATCTCATTCTTAAATATAAGATATTACTTCATTTGTCTACTGGTTGTGCATGTTGTTAAGCTGTTGCAACCAACATTCGTTCACCAAGAAACTTTTCTCGAACCTCAATGAAATTTAGCTAGGAAAACCTTTGGTGGTTAGGGAAGGTTAAGATAGAAACAGAGGCAGAGGCAAGGCTGAAGAACAATCGCGAGCACATGTGATATTACACAAAATGTAGCGAAGGAATTTAGAATGCCCATTTTCCAAATTAAGCACACATTTTATAATGAAATCAAGATAGGAACTTATAACAAGCCCTCATTAGAGTACAGTGTCCAAAAACACAAGATGAACACCACACCACTCCACACTCAACACACATAATTGCTCTTCAATGTTGTAAATATAAAAAAAGCTGAGATATCGCTTAGTACAATCAAATAGTTCTTCATTCCTCGTCACCCAAATCATTGAACGCATCGCACAAATCATTGAGCATTTCATCCCACATCTCCTCCACATGCACATGAAATGAGTATCCATCAACAAAAAGAACAAAATTGTCCATACCACGAAGAAATTCAAGAAATTTAGAACCCTTTCGCTTAAATTTACTAATATGAGACCCAAGCTTTGATATTTCATCGTTGTTCTCATCGAAACCAGAACAATCTCTGACGTCCAACATCACCAAACCTTTGCATTCGCGTAGCAAC